TAGTGTGGTTTGGCGACATATAAGATCCAGGAATGCACTGCGGTGATTCTTTAGATGATGAGAATGTTTGTGGGGACAATGACATTCTCATGACATTAATTGGGTGTTTTCACCTGATGTTGGGTCCGCCCCTTCTATTGACTCTAACCAGTGATTGTCTTCTCCTTGTCGTGGTTAGATTGAGCTTGCTCATGACACCTGTCCTTCCCCAACGGGGCTACTATGGCAAGAGATTAGATAGCTCGAATACTACAGCAAAGTGCGCGTATAATGGACCAGCATCCATACACGTAAATTGCCACCGGCGTGTAAGAAACACAATGGGGCGGTGGTGAGTCATTACATTTTAGCTCACCCAGTGGATGGAAAAGACCACCGTGAAATAGGCACTTCGACATTCATGTACATATGTATGTATGTCAAAACAATTCAGCACAATTCTAATAACCCATCAGTTCGACAAAGAGTCAATACATACGAAAAAGACAGTAATTTCCACTAATAGTTAACCACCTGGATGATCGTAATTCGTATGTTTTGGGTCATTCGTCACGAATGTACCCTTTGTGATCGAGAATGAAGACAGTCGTCACTTTAGTGTCCTCTTTGTAAGCGGGAGCGGAGACAGTCGTCTCTTTACTGTCCTCAAGTAACCTAGAGATTAAAACTTGTTTTTTTTTGTTGTACTTCCGAAAGTAGTTATTTTACCCATCTTTTGGAGAAATGATTGTTACTTTCTACTAATGTGCCACCATCTGGTTGACTCAAATTTATATCTTTCGGGTCAATCGTCACATTATTGTCCCATAGTATTCTAGAGAGTAGACACTTGAAATTTTTAAATTTTAGTTCCATTAATATCTTACCACCTCCAATTCGTATGTTTTTGGTCTTTCGTCACAAATAAACTCTTTGTAAACGAGAATGAAGACAGTCGTCACTTTAGTGTCCCCTTTGTAAGCGAGAGCGGAGGCAATCGTCTCTTGATTGACGATTGACTTCCTCGTAGGACAAGCCCATGTCCTACGGTGGCTAGGGGCCACCACAAGTGGTAGGTTAAGTGGTCAGTTCGGGACTGTCCCGTCGAACTGCTGGGAAATGGTTAAGCTAAATGACGAAAGGATCGATCCATTTACATATACATATGTGTGCACATACATATGTTTAAGTCCGCTTTTCGAAAAAAAATATTGTTTATACATATAGCCGAATACATCACCCATTAAACAAACCTAACAAGTCTATTGTAGCGTACAACATATAAAACCCCTTTGAACTTAACTACAATTTTAAACAATAATTTCTGACTTAATATTTTGTTGTTTTTACTACTTTTTATATTCATTCATTAAAATAACACAGAGAGGGAGGGCAAGGGACCATAAAATGCAATCGACCACATTTAATAATTTAAAATTTATTTTTGCATGTATAAAATACATTTCATGAACTTAATAGAGTAGAGTGTATTCTAGATAAATACACAAAAATGACATAAAAAATGAGTAGTAACTGAATAAAACCAACTACATACAATCTACCTGAATTTACATTAACTTCTACTGCAGTTACATACAAACTGTTAGTAAGAGTACTAAGTAGTATTTTTACTAGACTTCCATTATTGCAGATACATATTTGTGCAAAACTACTCTGCATACTGTGGATGTTTGTTTTGAAAAGTTTTTTGTTGAACATTTTATTTTACGAGTTTTACGACTATGTATCTCGATAATACTCATTACTGAAAATAGCTACACACAAGTACATCAAATGGCAAAATGAAAAGAAAATTTTAAAAAACAAACTACACATAAACCTACAAACTGTTGCGCGGGTGCACTTTAACAAAACAAAAACCCCTGCGAAAAAAAATCAGACACATTTTTATTAATATTATAGAATGAACAAAAAAACAAACAAAATGTGAAAAAACCTGTAACGTCGTACATGCTGCTGCTGGTTTTATAATTCAGAAAAACATCTGTCGTTCTGGGTATTGAAAATAAAAACACAACTCAAAAAGGAGGCAAAAAAACCTAACAAATGGCCATTTGTTTCAAGCCAAAAGAAATGTATTAACGCTCTTAATACAAGTTGAAAGAGAGCTATGTGTTTAATATTTAAGAGAACTTTGATGATTCTCTTTTGTGTGTGTGGTATTTAGCAATATGGTCACCTTAATAGGTATATGTATATAAATAACTTCTTTTGGCATTATTGGTTAGGTTATATGGGAAACTCGCAGTTATGTATGGAATTTTGAGATTTCCAGAGTGATTCATTTGGAACTTTTAACAAATTTGAAATTTCATAATAGACGATTGTACCAAGATATCACAGTTTGAGCTCTTGCAAAGCGAAGGTCAGTGTCTATTTATCTTATTCGTTTAAATAAAGTTACACGGGTAGCCCAAACAATCTAAGTAACATGGGTCCAATCATAAAGTGTCCTGTAAGTATGCACAAGAAACCTTAATGAATTTCTCTCAGGTACCAAGAAAGTCCAAGAGAATGTTCTTTTCGTGAAAGATAGCATTTTGTGGTAATAGTGGACTGCCTGACCTCCGATTTTTCAGTCGCTCATTCGTCGATCGTGTTCGATAACTAAGCCAGTCTGGTAGAAGGGATATGATTTCTACTTCCTTCTACCAGACTAATCATAGGTCGGAATAGATCTTATGACCGTTTTGTTTAAGATTCCAAATGTTTTTATGCAAAAATATTTAGATATCAGATCAGCGACTCACTCAATTAACTCTCAGCATTACATTTACACAATTATTTTGAGCATATCCAGAGAAATCGTACTACATCGATCGATAAAAATAGTAGTAGAATGGGACAAGGACCGGCACTCTAGGTAAGGTTAGGAGATTGTCAATTGCTATTAGCACTAGGTTGGGTCCATATCGTTGATCCCTTTGTAATAGCTATAAAAAAGAAAGTATATTAATACACATCGACAAAATTACTCTGGATTCATATACAAACCGGTTTGTCGTCTCGGATAGATCCGTTAGATCATGCAGGAAATTAACTGCTAGCTTATTTAGTCTATCAGTTAGGACAGGAGACAGACAAAGGAAGTGATTAATACACTCTTCTTCCTCTTCGTCTTGACCACTCCTGTATAAGTCATTGCTGGGAAGGTTCAGTCTTCTAGTATGGAGCCCAAAAGTTCCAGTGACCAGTCTCCCCTACAGTTAAGTTTTGTAGATTCGCTATAGGAAACTGTATTAGGGCTTTTGATCTTCGTGAGTCATACGACGTGAGTCATGATCTTCGACAGTCCAAAGGTAGCCTCATTCGACCATCTGTGTTGCGCAAGCTCGTAGAGTTTATCACAAATCGAGCGGTTAGTGCGGAGCCCACTTTCGCAAGAGAGTCCGAAATGGTATAGCCAGGTATCTGTGGATGACCTGAAATTCAGTACAATCCTACTGTGGAATGTTTCGTGATCTCATTTAGGAATGACCGGCATTCTAGGACCAGGTGTGGTGTTGTATAAACACTACTTATAGTCCTAAGGGCAGCCTGACTATCAGTAAATATTCGAATATCATTATTGTATATTCGATAAAACCTGAGCCAGTTTGCAGCCCGTTATATGACCGGGAAGGAGAATGTGATGGAATCACATTTGGATCATGTAGAATCGACACAAATCGACAAAAGCTTCTATCAAAATATGGTTTGGTAACCAATATTGTCTGGGATTGCTCCCAAACAGTTGATTATGGATGAGTCATATGCCACATCCGACTCTAAATACTGATTTAAGGGCCTCTTTAGCCATTGATCAACATGTAACCAATTCATCATTCTGCACGACACGACATTTACACAGCGAGAAAACAAGAATATGGGCTGCGGTTAGTCCCCCTTCAAATTCCTTTTAACACATTCCTTTAACAGTTGATAAAGAGATTTAGGATATACATGACATATCTATTAAATAGACTAGACTATAGACATGACTATGGACTATATTAAAATCAAAGCTAATGAATAAACTATAGTCCAGACTATGGACCAAACTATACTCCAGGCTAATCACTAAACCATAATACAGACTATACTTTAGTCCAGAATATAGACTAAATTCTAATGTATAGTCCTGACTATAAACTGCACATTAGACCAGAATCCACACCATTGACTAAATTATTTAGACAAGACTATAGTCATGGACTCTAATCTACAATTTATACTATAGACCAGATTATTTACAGAAATCGCCATTGGCTTGTTAATAGACGGATCGGATTTAAGTAGAAACTCGTACTTTGTCGTTTTCGGATTTAAAAAATTTCAGATTATTTAAGAATGACATAATTAATTAATCATATTTAGATACATATTCAAATCCTCTACATTCAAATTTTTTTTTAAATACTCCTTCTCTCAACCAATATAAATATTCTATTTCACCGACAATTTTCTAACAACAACTCATTTTAAGTTTATTTATTACAATAACATTTACCTGCATATAAAGAAGAGCAAAATGTAATGAAAAAATTCTCTTAGTATCACTACAAAACACATTGGCTCTCTTATAGCAACGCACAAACACTCTTGTAATAACAACCTGTTTGCTTTAGTCATACTCTTACCACAACTCGAATAACACGAACAGAAGAGCATTTGCTATTGTATGGTGTGTATAAAAGGACGAAACAAGCAGTGAAACAACTTTAGTCCTAATTCAACTGTCGGCTAAAGTACGTTGCTGGTAAATCGGGATACGTATATTTTACTTCTTTAATATTTAATTAAAGAAGTTGTAAAAAAAAGTATTATACTTGTTTAATATAAAAAATATTTAAGAAATTGTGAAAAATTTTGTTCCGAAAAAAGTTATTGAAAAGGAAAAAATACATAAATTTCAAGAAAACAAAGAATCAATAAATATTAAGTGTTTTTTAAGAAATATAGTAATAAAAGAAATTATTTTCTTGTTATAACAACAAATAAAAATGATTTAATAAGAAAAGTTGAAAAGAATATAATATATTTAAAAAAAGTTTATTTTTTTCTTAAGTAAAGTCTTTAAAATAAATAACAAAACCCAAAAAGGGCAACAAAAAGAAACAACGTTAAAAATGTCGTTGACAAATTGCAGCCTGTTGGCAGTAATTATGCCCTTAATTGCTATTGTACTCTTAACGACCGGTGGTTTTGCCGGTTTAACACAAGCCAGTGTTATCAACGATATGAATAATATAATGCGCGATATTTCGACGGAAGTGAATACAATGGCATCACCTACAACTACCAGTACTGGCATGACAACGACCACCACACGACAAATGATTTTACGAAATAGTGACGGTAAAAAGGATAACAGTGATAACTTTGTTAATGTCGACAATACTAACGTTGATAGTATTTCGTATAGTGAAACTTCTAGTGGTGAAATTTTACGTTTTGTTAACGATAACGATAATGTCAATGAAGATAACGATAATAATGATGATTTCATTGACATGAGTATTTATAATGATAAAAATAATCAAAATGATGAGATTTTTGGTGGTAATAGTGTTAGATCTGACAATGAAATCCCCATGTCAAATGCTAAAAATAATTATCAACAAATAATAGATAATAATAATGACAATAGTAATTATATAGAATCATTAACTTTAAGAGATCAAGTGCGTTTATTGTCGAAACAATTAAATGTTTTAATGAATCGGCGTCGTGAGGATTACGAACTATTGGAGCGTAATTTACGTAAATCTCTAAGGATTACACAAAACAATCAACCACAGCAACAACAACAACAAAATCAGCAGCAACAATCAATATCAAATGATTTGGATTTACGCAATGAATTGGAAAAATTGAGGTTAGTATTGTATTAAGTTTTCCCTTCTTGTTTTATTTTTGTTGCTGCCTTTTTCCAGGATAATGCCCCTAGTATTGTAGTTTTTATTGTAGTTGTTGTCCATCAATAGCAACAACTAAAGAAAATCTTTGGAAAATTAATTCTTGTTGTTTATTTATAAAAGTTTAGTGGGCTATGTCAAGTTGGATATACAAAGATATATATGTAAACATATCTGTATTTTAATGTACATTCATACCTACCTATGTATATGTATGTAGGTATGCTGATTAATATATGGGTCTTTCTGCTCTTAATTGTTTTTTAGAAAGAATTTCCTGAATAACTTTTAGGTATAATTTTGATATAGACCTGTTTTTCTAAAATAATGAACCAACTTCTTACCCCTTTGTTGGCAATTTAGGATTGAATATCGAAAATATACTTAATAATCAAAAAGTATATAGTACATTAGGGAGGACCCAAAACAGAACTTGCGGATGTTCCCGCCTAAAATGAAAAATAATAAAAAAACATGCCTTTAAAGGCACCTCTCAAAGATATTAGTGCCTTGTGCCCTCATAAATATACATTCATTTATGATCCTTACTGAAGTCAGCGCGATTTAGATTTGTCGATTTTTCCGTCTGTCTGTCTGTTTATAACATTAATTTTTAACCAGAGCAGTTTGTATTGAAAGTCAGCAAAGTCGGTCCAACGGCTTCAGAGTTATGAGTAAAAATTTCAGACAACCTCTAAAAAAATCGATCTTTCGATTAGGACCTTTTAGCAAACGATAATGTTAAAAAAAACAAGTAGAAAAGTATAGTCGGACGTGACCGACCATATGATACCCTACACCAGTTATGTGTATATCTAAAATGTGTTGAATTTTTCTTAATTTCGTTATATTTTTAATGAAAAAACGATTTCCTTATGGAAGCTATATATGAAACGATCCTAACAAAATTTGGTTTAGGGATTTTTGTTGACATTAATTCCGAATTTAAATGAAATACACGTGTTTATAAGTTCAAGCATTTTCAGAGGGGGACTTTGCAAGGGGGCTAGGGTTAAATAAGGGCCGCTCATAACGAAATATTGCAGTATCATTTATGCTTATATAGAACGTAGTTGTGCCTAATTTCGTAGGGATATTAATATATTTGGCATAATTATGAGCTTCAAATCCCAATTTAGGGAGTCCGATTATATGGGGGCTATGTGAAATAATGGAACGATATCAACCAAAATCAATAGGGTTCGTCCTTGGTTCAAAAGTAATGCGACCAGTAGTTTGATTACAAGGTTTACATGTATAGACAGACGGACGGACGGACATGGCTTAATCGACTCAGAAAATATAATTCTGAGCCGATTGGTATACTTAAAGGTAGGTATAGGACCATTAATTCTATGCGTTATAAACAACAGCATAAATTCAAAATACCTTCCTCACTAAAGTGGTGTAGGGTAAAAATATGAATGTATCTTTAAAAAAAAAATGGACTTAAACAAATCTCCAATTGATCTCAGACCCCATACGAAGTCCCCTCGACATAACCGGGGGTCATTTCGCGTGTAACACATGGAAATGCTGCTCATAGACCCCATCCGAGGTCCGATCTAGATGATCTAGCTATGTTCGTCTGTCTGTTGTTGGCACGATTGCGTCAACAAAAAAAGAGATAGGAAGATGCAATTTTTCCAAAATATACTTTATTGTTCAGAAAATTTTAATATTGAAAATAGGCAAAATCGGTGCCCGATTTCACAGAAATCGATTATGCGACAAAATTTCGCACAAATCAGTTTTATCTTTCTAGAAATTAAATTATGAATTATGGCGCATATCGCACCATAATTAACCCTATCATCTATATAAGGCTAACTTCAGAAAATAACTGTATAGCAATATAATTCGACACGGACAAGTTTTATAGGAACCGAATTCCTTGAAGAGGATTGGTCTATAGTTGACCCTAACCCCATGTAAGGTCCCCTGTATTACTGGCTTACACATGAAAGTAGTGTACTGCGATGAAATTCGACATGAAAAAGTTCTATGGGTACATAAATCTTTATAAAAATTTATCGGTAATTACACTTAATTCAATCTTTAAATTTAGAAGATGTTGATCTATAATGGACTCAAAATCCTAATAAGATCATATTGCGGAAATCATCGTAATCAGCTTAAATCTAATAGATGTGTAAACTATATCTTTATAATTGGTTTACAAAGATTTGCGTCCATATCTAGTCCCACCTTTTGAAATTCACTTAAATATTATAAAATTTGAGTTGATGGTTGGTATATAAGATTCGTCATAGCATTTACAATAGATCTCGTCTTTTCGGAGATTAAAAAGAGATTATTAATAGGTTATTCTGTTATCACAGCTTCTACCGATCCAAAAGTATATGGTTAAATCCGAATATACATATTTATTTTGATTTTTAAAACAGAGATAGTACTCTAAACATGTTAGTGAGAAATTAAACTAAACATTTTATCTCCGGTGTTATAAAAGTTCAAAGGTCATACAATATATTTCAATTAAATTTAATAAAATATTGAGTTTCAATTGATTTTCATGTCTACATTCCATAAGTACTTTTACGGGGTATATTACTACTGAAAAATAAAATTTAATTGACTGTATTTTATTTAACGAACCAGAATAAGCTTTCGTTTCATAAGCTATATATTTTCATACTACATATTTTGCGGTCATTCTTGCTTCAATTATTAAGCCCTTACTTAACGAAACTGACCTAAACTGAAAATAACAATTTATTTTTAACCAATAAAGACTTGTTATTTTATTGACGTTGATGGACATATTTAGTTAGAGAATATTGTAAACTAATAACATTTATATAATATGTAGGGATTTTTAGTCGTATTTGCATGTTAAAGTAAATGTGCATGTTTAATCATGCATAATTGAATTAAAGTTTTATATTGTACTTTTTAAGCCAACAATAAGAATATATATGTAGTTATAAATAGATAGACATTTTTATGACAGGCTTTATGATATAACCATATATGTATGTGCAAGCAAAAAACTTATGCATATTTTTAGGGATTTAAATTGATTTTATGGTTTAGCAAAGTAAATTTTTATGTTGTTATAGAATTGAAATAAAACTATAATAAATTGGATTTAGTAAATTTTTTTTAAATTTATTTTTTAAAATTGAAATGTTTGACATACTTTTAGGGGTTTAGGTTAGTAATAATCGATAACGAGAAAAACTTGAAAAAACAATATGTTGGTTATGGTCAAAAATAATTGTTCAATTTATAATCTCTTGTACAAATAGTATATTATATAAAATTTATAAAAATATATAAAATAAAAAAAATTGTATTTCTAATGATGTTGAAAAAATATTGTATAAAATTAAGCATACTTTAAGGCTATCTTAAGTAAAAATAAAAAAGCATACTTTTAGGTACTTTTTTATAAAACTATATTTTTCTATTAAAATAATTAATTTTAATTTATTTTTAATTGAAGTTCAATTTCTTCCGGCAAATTTTTTTTCTATTTTATTTCTGTAAAGTGTCACTTATTGTTTGTTTTGTACAATAGCTTTAATTTGTTTTCAAAATAATTGCTGTTGGTATTCATTATTTTATATCCGTTTCCTTTTTTTTTCAACATGTTGTTATGTATTGTTGGATGAGTTTTTTTATACAACAGAAAAAAACTTATTTGTAAAACAGACATTGTTTTGCAAAACAAACAACAGAATTTTTAAACAACAAATAACAAAAAAATATTTAGAAAAGGTTGAAATTAAACAAACAACACAAAAAAAACTACAACTTCCATTTTTCATTTTGCCCAATTCACAAAAAATCTATCTCTACCTTTTTGTTGAGCACATTACAATGGTTTATGTAACCCAGTGAGTAATGTCATACCGTCATTCAAATAATGGAAAATCGTAACCAAAAATACTAAAATATTCATTTAACAAAGTTCTCCTAAAAGTATACTTCATTTTTCACTGGACATCTTAACACTGATAAAATATTTACTCCCCAGAAAAAAGAGAATATAAAAAAAAACTTTTTTTATTTTTGTTTATTTTTATTTGGCAACAATAGTCATTATAGTAGTAATAAGTATCCTGAAGTATTAAAAGTAATAATTGAACAAACTCTAACTTTCAACGTTAGCAAACAAACGTTAAAGGATTAAACAAAAACAAATAGCTAAAACAAAGTTTTGTTTGTTAAAAGAAAACACAGCAAATATTTAGCATATCTATAAGGTATTTGAATAAGTTTAGCCTACAACTATGCTATACAACTATATATCCTAGAATTATCCTTTAAATCTTATTTAAATAAATATAAAAATTAATAATGAATAATTAAAATATTATGCTTAATTAAATATAATATAAAATGTCTAATTAAAATTTTACATAAAAATATTATATATGTATGTACATATAATCTAAAATATGACATATTTATTTTGTTTTATACACATTTTTAAATTTAATTAGATATCACTCAAATTTCTATATTTTTATTTTCTTTTTGCACACAAAAATGTGTGTAATTAAATTAATGAAGTGAATAAATTACAAAAATTGCAAAAATTAAAACTACTCATAGTTTAGATTAAAAGCTTAATATTGCTAATGAAAAGTTTAGTTCCTCCATGAGGTAAATTTGTGAAAAATTATTAAATAAAAAATAAAATATTAAATTATATCCGGATATGCCGAATCTTAAATACCCTCCACCAGCAAGCTACTTTTTTATTAAAACCCATTTAACTATCTAATTTTTTGATAACTTGACACAATTTTTGTTTTCGGATTGAGGGTACTAACATTTATACATATCGAACTAATTTTGTTAAGGTCTAGAAAAATGCATATTAAAATAGGCCAATTCGAAAACATTTTAATAGAATGATTTATCTATAATTTTGATTGTCAATGTACATTTAAGTCATTTTCGGAAATGGTCCTTATATGCAAGTTGT